GAGAACTACAGAGCAATAGTAATTAGGATAAATTACACTGCCTAAAATTAAGGGAAAACAAGGCTCTTTGGCCAACCTTAATGTGACTTTATTCTCTACTTTCATTACATTTCACACTAAGTGTTCTTTTGTGATGTCAGCCCACTTCTAAAAATACTTCTAATCCCAAATAAACAGAAGCCCTGTGAAATCGAAAACTTTCCAGATAATATTGTTAGTATTCAGGCATCTGTGCTGGCCTGTCCTTGGGGTTCTGACAGGACACGCCCTCAGCTGCAGTCACCTGTGCACATTCACTGCGTTCCCTTTTAAAAGGGTCCCGCCCACCTCCCACCGCCCTCTCTGTCCCCCTTTCCTCTCTCCTGTCCCCGTCCCCAGAGGCTGGTCTCCCCGCCCCCCGCCTTCCCCCTTTTTATGATCCTTTCCCCCTAATAAAAAGAAACTTTCTCTCAAGTGTTGCTTTTCTTAAATTACAACTAATACGATGGTAATTTCCAAGAAAGAAGATATACAAATTCCATAACATATAAGTTACAGAACCCATTTTTTTAAGTCCCTATAGGTCACCAAAAACCTGTGCTCAGCTTTTCTAAGCCTGGGTCATCACACAAGGCCCTCCATGTCCTTGAAGACACATTGTAAAGGTCAAGTTTAGGGTGCCCCTCAAGCCAATCTTTTAGAAGATGTTAAAATGTTCCTCTTCTGGTTGCTAAGTATGAAATACACAGGTAGAATGTCGCCACTTCCCCTCCCAAACTTCCTACACAATAAAAACTCAGCTCCACGGCAGTATTTAGTCGCCTTCTAAATACTCCTTTCATGACAAATCCGGTTCACAACCATCCAAGTCCATTTCTGTGTCAACGCAGAAGACTTTCAGCTCAGGCCCACTGTGTTTTGGGTTTTCCAGGAAAGCAATTGTTCTGTATATCGAAGTACACTTGCACAGCAGTGGTGATGAACATGAACGAGGGCTCTGTAGTCACGCCATTCTGATTTTATCCCCGGCTCTGCCAACCCCAGCTGCACATTCTTGGACAATACCCTCGGATGAAAAACAGAAGCGACCGTGGTACTCGACTCACAGGTGTTATTAGGAACAGTGCCAGGGATAGTTAGCTCTGTATGGCGGTGTCACAGACATGTTTTGTAGAATCCTCCACATTTTAGGGACTTGTATTGCTGTCGTCCTTTGGGTACCCAGTTATTAAATGGCCAATACAGCAGGTCTGTATTGGGTTTCGTTTATAGCTACTATGACCTCGGTTTCTTTCTTTTTAAAAATTCTATGTGTATGAGTGTTTTGCCTCTACACATGTCTGCGCACCACATACATGCAGTGTGCAAGGGAAGCAGAAGAGGACACCATGTTCCAAGACTGTAGTTACAGGTGGCTTTGAGTCACCATGTTGGTGCTAGGAACAGAACCCAGGTCCTCTCAAAGAGTAGCCAGTACTCTTAACTGCTGAGCCATCTTTTTTGACCATGTATGTGTATACACCAAGTACTTTTACTTTACTTTTTACTATAACAATATAGCCATGCTACCTAGGGCACTTGCATATTGAAATATTTCGTTTACGTCTGACTTAACGTAAATATTTCTTTACGTTTCAGCCGTCACATCATATCCAGGTGTACTACCTGCCAAATGCTTTTGTGTGTGCATCTTTTATCACCCATGGTTTTCATTTGATGAATCCTGTAGCACGAGGGCATGAAGAAAACACCCTCTCCATCAACACGAGCAAAGTGTGTGAACTCAGACTAAAGCAGCCTCACGGGGCCATAGGGCTCTGCGCCAGGCCCTCTGTGAAGATGCAATGGCTTTCTGTTTAGTGTTTTTATGGATTTCCTGAGTGCAAATGAGCGGGTCTCTAGTTCTTGTCCCTTCTCTTGGGCTCTTTTCTGGTGGAAGTCAAGCCCAAGTCAGTGGCTCGGTACCCACTGGAGCTGGACTCTGGCATTTTTCCTTATGTTGGCTTGCCTTGTCCAACTTTGATGTGATAGCTTTATCTTATTATGAACAAATGAATGAGTGAGTGAATGAATGAATACCTAGCCACTAATTGCCACGTATATCTGCTGAAAGAGATAAAATCAGTTTTCTCCAGTAGAGTGACACTATGTATAGCAAACACATAAGGACATGTGTCATGTTCAGAAGTAGTTGACCAACTCCACAGGGTGTGTGTGTGTGTGTGTGTGTGTGTGTGTGTGTGTGTGTGTGTGTGTTTTCACTTGGTTACAGTTTGGTGGGGTTTTTTGTTTTGTTTTTTTTGACTGTGGCTTTAGTTTGTTTTCTTGGCCTGGAATATTTTGTTTTTTGAGAAAACTTAAAAGTTTTGTGAGCGAGAAGAAGGAAAGGATCTGGAAGGACTTGGAGAAGAATAAGATCAAATATATCTAAATTTAAAACTTGTTCTAAAAAATAAAATGTAATTTTAAAAAAGTAAGGGGATGGTGTTGGGATGGGTATGACAGAACTAAAAAGCCACTACTTTAATCCACTATGCCATCCTTCATTTTCTGTGACAAACCACTGTCCCCATTGAAAGGGTACTATTGAGCCCAGGAGTGTCCACCCATTTCATTGCATGTATGCGTGTGTGTGTGTGTGTGCGTGTGTGCACATGAACATACATGCACATGGAGATAAGAGGCTGACACTGGGTGTCTTCTTCGTTTGCCCTCCATCTTACATATTGAGAAATGATTCTCACAGAACCTGCAGAGTCCAGCTGATGTAGCTGGCCAGCCTGCTCCTATAATCCTTCATCTTTACTGCCTGGGGACTGCTGGAATTACAGGCAGTCGCCACAGCTGCAGGGGTCTGGGTTGGGGCTGGGCATCCACACTCTGAGGCTTACCTTGGACAACAAGCTTTTTACTCACCCACACATCTCCCCAGCCCCATTTTGAGGAACTATTATTAGCCGTTGTTTACGTATTTCAAAAGTAAAGGTTTGTGAAATATTTTAGCAGCAATAGAGTTCTCAAACGTAATTCAGGTTAAAAAAAAAAAAAGATAAAAACACAAAAGAAAAAAACAAATTGTGGAGGCTGTAGAGGAAGCCAGAACTCTCCCTGGATTTCCTACAGCGCTTCCAGGAAGAGCCTGGGAGGTACCATCTGCTGCAATAATTTGAACTGAGCACTGCAGGGAGTTAAGTCCAAGTTCTGAGAACCCATTCCTAGAATGGTCATTCGATTTAGGAGAAACATTGTCTGCACAGAAAAGTGACCCACCCCACTAACCATGTCCCCCTAGGCCTTGTACACCATTAAGCCATTGAGACTATAATATGAAGAACCCTCTTCTAGACCAGAGAGGGAAAGCAAGCAGTGTGTGGGCACAGAGCCAACTCAGGCCAACAGGAAACTGGCAGGGGCCAGTTCTTCTCGCACGCAGCTCCTTCCTTGCCTCAGGAGGCCCTCTCCTATCCTCTACCCACATTCTGCGGGTTAAGGATCAAGAAGAAGCGACCACACAATCCTCACATCTCTGTGGCGTCATCTGGGATGCCCACCCAATAAACTACCGTCCCAAAGCTCAAGACACTGATGGCAAAACGCTGGTGTGAACCAGATCACACTAAGAAGTGGGTGCAGGGTCTCTTAAGCCCTTGGGAGGCATCTAAGACAGGGGAGGGGCTTTCTAACTCCTCCAGTGAACATCAGGCAGGTCAGCGGACAACCCCAGGGGTGTGGCAGTATGCCGAGGCCTGACTGCTGCAGCACTGCACAGGGAACTCTGGGAAAGGGCCTCTTCCTGGAATTCCGTTAGCATTTAGTTCTCCACGACCACAAATTCATAAGATCCCAAAAATGCTTGGGAGGATTTATTTCGGTTTTTAATATTAGTGCCCGTGCTGGTAATGGCCAGAGCGGTCACTTGTAAATCTGAAAACACTTCGAATGTCCTTTTGCTTGGGTTTCGCTTCACGTATGACGCAAAACATTAATATTTCAATTACATGTGACTTAAGAGTAAGAAAAATATACAACTCTATTTAAAACACTTAAATTAACAAGATAGGACTTTTTTTTTTCCACTCTAGCAAAATATTGTACATTCGGTTTAAACAAGAGTTAATATCCAGACACACATCTTCAAAATACCTGATGCTAGTTGAAAAATCAGTGGCTGTGAGGGCTTTCCGAGAGATTTCTAGTTAGCAAAATGTGTACAACTCGGAGGGGCGTTTCTTCCCCCAAAAGACAGACATCAAACAGGTCAATGATGTCAACCGATCAATATCCCATAACCCTAAATCTTGTTGCTTCATTTTCCCGAAGGATACTTTGGCTCTCAGCAAATCTTATAGTTTCTCTCCATGTGTATGTGTAACACCAGCAACACTCTCACCAAAAAAAAAAAAAAAAAAAAAAAAAAAAAAAAAGCACTTCTTTGTGTGCGACATGCCCCATCCAAAATCCGCTCCAGAGTCTGTATTGGCTCGCCTAAATGGAGGTTGTTACAGAAACGGGGCGTAACAGCCGACCTATCGGTAAAGCCCTGCTCCAAAGAGCTTCTCGCAGTGACCACGCCACTCTGCAAGGAGGCAGTGACACAGCCACACTTATAAATATGGTCTGCAGCTTTAAAAATTTAAAAAAAAAAAAAAATCAAAAGTTTTCTCATTCGGCTTTTTCAGATACAGAAGTTGGACCACAAACCAACCATATATATATATATGACAAAAGCCGTCAACCTTAGTCCCCGCTGCCCGAGAAAACAGAAGTGCACGACGCTGCCAATTCCTGACATTAAGTCGTCTGGCCGATACACCATTTACAGAGTATGTCTCCATGTTCCCACACTGGGGAGGCAGAAACAAGCAGGCCTTGTCATGTCTGTCCTTCCTTCTGCCTCCACAAACAACACCTAAGATCCTCTGGACCAGATGCCCTCCAATGACTTCAGATTTCCAGGAGCAGCAGTAGACAACCTTTAAAACAGAATAAAATGGAATGAAGTAAGGTCGCTGTGGAGCACTGCAGATGAGTCTGAAGAAGCTGTCCACTGAGGAAGAAGGCACTTGCTAGCAGGAGACAGGCAGGAGGCTGGCGGGGCAGCTCAGTGAGTCAACAGCTTGAGGCGCGTCAGCCAGCTGACCAGCAGGGAAGGCTCCCCAGAAGACGCCTTGGCAGAGGAGGCTGACTTCTTCTTGGGCCCTTCCTCCTGAAAGGGAATGGTGGCGCTACTGTGTAGATCAGAGTTGAGATAGCACCTGCTCCCTCGGATGTAGTCCGCACCTCGCACCAGGTGCCGCTCGGTTGAGGGTCTGGAGAAGCGGTACACAGGAGATGTGCTTTCTTCAATGATGGTTGTAATCCGCTCATTGCTGAAGTACCGGCAGAGGGCATCTTCCCCTGTTTTCAAACAAAGCCCGCAAGCCCATGAGAACAAGAACCCCCAGACCTAACACCACTCAAGCAAACAGTAAACAGCCAGCTCTCTTCCATGCAAGGGCCTGTGAATGCTTGTCCTACCCCCCCAGTAGTGTTTGTAAAGCGAACAACAGTTTCACCATCAGCGTTATGGTTAAATCAGAGATGCCAACACCTTCTCCACCTCCACACCACCAACCCACGTACTGACTGTGTGCTCCTCAGTGGCTGGGAGGATGTGGAGCCTTTCCTTTGGGAGGTAGGGCCTGGCTGGCAGATGCGGATCACAAGGGATGGTCCCTTGGAGGCTAGACCTACTCCTGGTTCCTGATGCTACTACTTACCAGTCCAAGTCTACCATCTCATACTCCCACTGCCTTTCCAAGCCCTGATGTGTTGTGAAAAACTAGGTTAATTAAGCAAAGATGTATTATAGTTTCTGCTGGGGAATGTTACTTTAACTACATGAAGGTGTGTCATACATGTCTCTGCTGCCTTTGTTAATGATGTAAAGACGAGTTACTTTGTAACATTTGTGCTGCATTTGTTTAATTATGTAAAGAAAGCACCTGATTGGCCTAATAAAAAGCTTAACTGCCAACAGCTAGGCAAAAGAGAGAAGGGCAAGGCTGGAGAGCATAGAGAATAAGAGAAAAGAAATCTAGGCTTGAGAGAGGAGGAGGAGGAAGAGAATGAGGGAGAAACACAGGGCATGTCTGGAGGCAGAAGCCAGGCAGCTACCAGTAAGACATGGGATGTCTCCATCAAGTCCCTCCCTTCAGGTCCCAGGGAGCCCCAAGGAAGAGGGGGGGGAAGAGTGTAGGAGTCATGGGGGATGGAGGACACCAGGAGAACAAGGCCTCTGCAAAGCTCTCGTGAACTCAGGGAGCACGCACAGGGCCTGCGCGGGTCCGCACCATGTCCTCTGCGTGCATGCGTGCGTGCGTGCGTATCATGGCTTCCAGTTTGGTGTTTTTACGGGATTCCGGAGTGTTCGAATGAGTTGGGTGGGTCTGATTCATGTGCCTTTTCCCTCAATTGGTTTGTCTTGTGCAACTTAAATGTGATACATTTTTCTTTTAATCTTCTATTTAAGTTTGTAATTTTTTTTTTGAATGAATGAATGAACAAAAGAAACTTTGCCACTAGGGTAAAGGTTAACAACTGAACTGTCTATATATACCTGCTATGAGAGGGAAAATCAGTTTTCTCCAATGGAATGTCACTGAGTAAGTATATCAACCACCCCAGGACAGGCCTCAAGTTCAGGAGTAGCTGACCAACATACTAAGCACTCCACAGGTTTTTTCTTTTTTTTAATTTGGTTACAGTTTAGTGTTGTTTTGCTTTCTCTTTATGGGTGGCTTTCTTCCCCCCCCCCCTTGGTTTTGGAGGAGTCTGTCATACTGGGTTTTTGTTTTTAAAGAAAGAACTTAAAGTTGGGCAGGGAGGGAGGGAGAAGTTCTGTAAGGACTTGGGGAGAAGAAGAATATCAAATATATCTAAATTTAAAATTTGTTTTAAACAAAAACGTGTATAATACAAAAGTAGAGTTAAAAAGAAAATCAACAAAACAAAAACTTCATCTAAAGGGGGAAGACAATACATAGTGGCTCTAACTATCAGAGTGTCTTTTCTAGAAGTAAAGGCCTTCAAAATTCAGGTGCTTCTGACAAAGGAGAAAACGCAGCCAGAGCAGAACTCTCCGGTGTGTCCCCGGCAGCAAACATGAGAAATTCCTGGCAAAGGCCTAGTGTCTCTCGGTTCTTCTGACCAACACCTTTCCACCTTGACGAATCCTCACTGGCAGTCTGTCTCTTGTCCAAGTAAAAGAAACACCCTCTGCTACCACCAAAAGAAAAGTCATATACTGTATATACCTATCTACAAAACTGGCAAACTCGAGGCCCAGTGAATGCCTGTCAGGGGCTGTGGAAGGTGGAGTCAGGCATGAGCACCACCAGGTATAAGCTGCTTTACAGGGCAATGGGAACATTCTGAAGTAGACGGTGGTGACTGATGTGCAATTCTCAACACATTAAAACCACCAAGTTGTCCACTCCCAGAGGGGAGGACTCCATCCCAGGAGCACTGCCGTTTTATCTCTTAAGTGGCCATGGGCAGAGAGACAGCATCACCTCTGAAGCAGTCAGGAAGTTCTCACAAGGCCCGATCCCTCCACTACACCTCTCCATATATGAAGGAGGACAGGCTAGATCCACGGCCAGGGAATGGTGATGGAGATGTTGGTGTTTTAAATCTAAACACAGGCCAGCCCTGCCACCTGCTGACGGCTGCAGACTTTGCTCTGCACACCAGAAACACCCGAAACCAGGGACTGGCTGGCATCTGGTCCCTTAGTGTAGCCCAGATGATCCGAGCCAGCACTCAGGTGACAAGGTTTACCTAGGAGATGTCGGGAGTCACTCGCTTGGAAGGTTAGACCTTCAGAGTTCATTCTGTCCTTTCTTTCCCAGGCTGAAGCCCATCGTATGTTTATCTCACTTGTTCGTTTCAACATTACACAGGTAATGCCATAATTTCCATCCAATGTTGGTAATCAGAGCCTATCTAGCAAAAATAGGGAAAGGTCTCACTATTGTAGCCCTGGCCATCCTGGAACTCACTCTGTAGACAAGGCTGGCCTCAAACTCCAGAGATCTGCCTGTCTTTGCCTCCCAAGTGTTGAGATTAAAAGCACACACAACTGTGCCCAGCATAAAAAAAAAAAAAATTTAAATGTTGCCTAAAGATTTGTGTAATAATTAGTAATAAATTACAGGGTGAATTAAAAACAATTTTTCAGACAGTAATTATGCCTCAATAATTTAAATAGGATTTGTTTATTCATAAGATTCAAGTTTTTAAAGAATCATGCAATTGAGGATGTTTAATGGATGATTTGTTTAAAAAGTGGACGGTTTGTGTCTAGAGCCTTTTAAAAAGTCACAATGCTGACTAGATTGTAAGAAGATACAGTGTTTCCAGTTCTGGAAAAAAGCAGTCTTCTAGCAACCTTCAGCAGGCCTGACCCACTGATGACAAGCTGGGCCTCAAGAAATGCTATCACCTTCAGGGTAAAGCATGGGGTGGCCTGGGTTCTGACTCCACTCAGTGCTTTTGGTTTGCTTAGACGAAACATACCTTTCCTCCCATGACCTCGAGGTCTAGCAAATGGGTCCACAATCCCCATCCAGTTCCCATCTGCAGGCATGGACAGAGGCCGGGGTTTGCCTTCAGAGACCAGAGGGTGAGGCAAGGTTAGTGACATTTGTCAACTCGAACAGAAGTCCACCCCTGCCTTCACCTCTAACTTAGCTCCCAACTATGCCCACTTACATAGAAGCAGTGACAATGTTTAGAATAAAACTACTTTTAAAGCCCCACTCTCTTAGTTTAGACAAAGGCATGCTAACGCTGAGTCCTGGAGTCTCCAACACTAAAGTTAAAATTGTAATGTGAGCTCACCCAGCTGGGCTTTGATGCCTGGCAGAGCAATGACTCAACAAGGCTTTGCTTTAGCCAGACGAATAAAGGGCTCATACCTAGAATTTCATTGAGGTTTATGTTTTCCTCGGATCACCTTCAGAGTCTGCCAAGTTCATGCCAGAGCCCCAAGTAAGGGGGGGGGGGGAAGTAAAAAGAAACAGACGCACACCGGAGAACTTACCATACGATGGCGTCTTCCTTCTCATCTTTGTGGGCAGAACGTTGGTTCCCACCGAATAAGCTGGCAACTGATCGGAATCAGTGATGGTAAATCTGCGTCTCTGGCTCTCCTGGTCCAGGAAGGAGTTAGGGGACTCTGAACCCTTCCACCCAGGCATCGGCTGTTTACTCTTACTGGGTCCTCCATAGGCAAAGCTCCCATTCTCGTCCCTGGAAGACAGTGTGTGGTCACTAAGGAGCTCACAGTCCAGCTCTCTCGCCCAAGAACGAACAACAGGAGCCCAAGTTAACATGGGCACATGTGGCTTCCAGCTCCATCCCACTGGAGAAGAAGTACTACTTTGCTAAACTCAAGTCACCCCTTCAAGTACGTACAGAAGCCCTACAGAAGAACAAAAGCCATGAACCTATTACAACCGAGCAAACACGACCTTCTTCCGTACAAATAAATTTATCATGGCGTTGGCATAGCTTAAGCTACAGAGATCCCCAAGCAGCTCCTTCTGAGGCCCCAAAGGCATGCACTTCTGTAAATTTTTCACAAGTGAGATGTGTTGGCAGTCTTGTCTTGAAGGGGCCTCACCACCAACTGTCTCAGGAGGTGAGGCCCAGCCCTGCAGTCCCACACAGTGAGGCTGATCTTGTTCTGTAAAGTGACTTCCTGGCTCAGCAGCTACCCAGTGGAGACAGCCATTCCACCCTACGAGATGGGGACTAACATACCGGGGAGAGTAGGGGACAGCGGGTGGGGGAGGGATGTAGAGGTCCAGGATGGCTGGCTTCTCCTTCTTCAGGGAGGCATCCATGGTGCTCTCTGGGGACTGGGTCGTGGTGGGTGGGGGTGAGGTCTGCAACGAGAGCCACACGGGGAGTTAAAGAGCAGAGGTCAACTTGGAGGTTATTCTTGGTATATTTTCCCCCCCGACCCACCCCAAATCAAGCCAGGCCTGAGGACAAGGAGAGGCTGAGCTCACCCACACACCCACGGCTACTGACAGAGCTCAGCATCCATGCTTCCATGAGGCCATCCACTCACAGAGCACTTGCAGAAGCCGTGGGGCTTTAACTCTAGCCTTAGCTAGAAATCCATGCCTTGGCTTCCTCCCCTGCAAAACTGATAGTAACCACCCTGCTGTTTGAGAAAAGCACACAGCGGGGGTCCTTCAGATTGGGAGTGAGGCCTGGGGCTCTGGGTATGACCTGCCTGCCCTTCTGACTCTCTGTGTCGTGTATGGCAGAGGCAGTCAGTGCCTCAGCTTCTCCGAGTCTCATCTATAAGATGGGAATTCGTGAGAACAAGAGCAGTACCCAGCTGGGCAGCTGTGGAAACTGAGATAACACCACCAAGGGCACAGGGTATGCTTGCCACACAGAAAATAAACCACTCACTCTGCTGACTCCAGCAATGCATGCCCACAGGAAGAACACGTTTTAAGTTTAAAACACGATTTGCGTCTTTACCTTAACGTCGCTGATCTCAGAGGACTTACAGTTTTGTTACGTATTTAATACTCATACATGTACATGTTTAGATCCAATCCACCCCCGTTGTGCACTCCCTAACCCTAACCCTCTTCTCCCTCTCAACTTCTAGTTCTCTCAGGCTCCCTCCCTGTCACCCCGCCCCACCTCCTAAGTGGAACATCTCACCCCAAGCTCAGAGCTCAGAGCTGGGACGTTAACCCATACAGTGCTGCTTGGGGGCTCAAGCAGGGCCTCACCTCCCAGGTGTCTCAAATCATTAGTCATTCATCTGAATGAACCACCTCATCCCTAGCCTGGCTGACAACTTCATAACTTCACATCTGGGCATCCACAGAAGCCACCTGTTTATATGACATTTCTTGTGTCTAGGTATGGTCACAAGATGAACTATGCCCCACTCAAATTCCTATGATGGGGTCCTGTGACCCCGCCCCCCCCCCCCCCGCCCCAGTGTACTTGAGAATGTAATTGCATTTGGACATCACGTAAGAGGTGATCAAGTTGAAATGAGGACACAGGATGCAATCAATCCAACCGTGTCCATATAAGATAAAGATACAGGGGGGAGGGGGAGGATGTGAAGGCAGACAGAAAAGGTAGCTATTTCTAAGCCAGAGAATAAGACCTCAGAAGAGACCAGCCCTGCATACCTGGACCTTGAACCCCAACTACTCAGCCTGTAGAACTTTGTTATGGCAACCCCAGTAAAGTAACAGATACAAATATAAAACTAGGCGTCAACCTGACCCCTGGAGGTAAAATCCACACCTTCTAGCCAGGTACTCTACCTCTGCTATTACATGAACCCAACTAACCACGCCAACTTAGAGGGTTTGAGATATTCTTTGCAGCAGGGGCTGGGAAGGACACTCAGAGCCCACATACTGAGATCTCAGTCCCCAGCTTCTGGACACGGTAATGGCCAGAGAATGGCCCTCAGCAGACGAAGCTCTCCTAAAAAGGGTCAGCAGGCCTGCAGCTGCCTGGTTGCATGGCCCCCTCTGTCCTGTAGAGGGGGCCATGCCTGGGACTGTCCTTTCCTCTCCTGCCTTATCCCTTTCCTTTGTAGTGCCTGCCCTTGATGCCACTTTGACAGGAATAGTAACTCTGCCTGTAGGAACCTAGCCTAAGACAGCCTCTGCCTGGTGGCCACGGGTCCGTGTTGTGGGGTGCGTGGGTTTAAAGACTAAGATGCCTCGCCCTCATCTCACCCACCTTCCCCCTCATCAGTAAGAGGCACTTCACCTAAGCAGTCCCTACAGCTCTCTCTTTCACAGCTCCCCAGTGTAAGACGTGACGACAACAGTTAATGCAGAGTGCATTCTTGCAAACGGCTGAGAGAACAGGCTAAAATACTTTCACCCCAAACAATGGTGTGTGAGGTCATGCGTGTACACGACAATACATACAATGCTGGGAATGTGTATGTAGTTTGTGTGATAATTCATTTTTCTCATTTGACTTTATGTATGAGCGTCGGTTTGTTTCTGTTTTTGCTTAGTTTTTTTGGGGGCATGCATGCAGTGACCATGGGGGCCAGATGAAGGTACGGGATGCCATGGACTAGAGTTACAGCGTGGGTGCTGGAAATGGAACCTAAGTCCCTTGGAAGTGCCTTTAGCTGCCGAGACACCTCTCGGGTAGCCTCCCTTTGATTTCAGAACCTAAGGGACTTAAATCCTGTGACCCATTTGTTCCCTCCTCTACTTTGCACTACTGACTTCCACTCTGTTAGCTGTGGGTACATTTGCAGCATGATGTATCACAAAGCACTCAAACGCACAGCCTGGAAGCACTACACCTTCCACATGAAGACGCAAAGTAAAACCCCAGGCAGCCAGCCCGACAAGCAACAACACAATGCAGTCTAAGACTTAAAGACTTTATCAAGCCAAGGTCTCACTTATAGCCCAGGCTTGGGAGTTACACCTCCAGGTGCTAAGGGTTGAACCACTACATTTGGCTTAAGGACTTGACTTTGCTTTTTTTTTTTTTTTTTTTGGTTTTTCAAAACAGGGTTTCTCTGTGTAGCTTTGGAGCCTCTCCTGGAACTCGCTCTTGTAGACCAAGCTGGTGTCAAACTCCCAGCCTCCCGAGTGCTGGGATTAAAGCCGTGGGCCACCGGCGCTCGGCTTGGCTTAAGGACTAAAAACAAAAGCAAAGGCTTAAAATATTATTGGGAAGTGAAAACTAAGACTCAGTGGCTAAAGGGGGTTTGTTGAGGCTGAGGAGGCGTCACTGGGCCCCTTAAGTTCAGCTGAGACAATAAATGCTGGTAATACTCACAGAGGCTTTAAACAACAAAACTCACCTAAAGTTAGATTGTCTTTTAAACCCTGGCATGGGCTGTGTATTCTGAACTAAGCAATGGTATGGAACCATTTCCAATTGCCTGAGCTAAATTCTCCATCCCCACCTGCTACTTGGAAAAGTGACACTAAGAACTCTGCATCATGGGAGCCCTGAGATCAGGGTTCAAGCTGTGTGTAGTATATCAAGTACTGACTGCTATTCCTTCTAGAAGAAGGGAAAAAAAAAAAAAAAAAAAAAAAAGGCAGCTAGTTCAAGGACAGCCAGGGCTACAAAGAGAAACCCTGTGTCAAAAAACATACAACAACAATAAAAAGTCAGAAAGTAAACATACAAAGTTGCAAAATTCGGAAGAATTTTCCCCAACATTAAACAAGTACTAATAGCTTCCAGGAAGAAGAGACACACACTCTGAGGACTGACAAAGCTGCCTGCCAGCCATGCAGGGAATTCTAAGGATGCTCTTGGGGTGAACTGTCCCACATGTTGGGTTGGGTTCTTCTTGGACAAAGTTGCCTGAGTCACACCATGCTCCTGTAAGTGCACCCAAAAAAACTGAGTGTCTCACCGAGCTAAGTGTCAGTGGGATGATTTCTCTGGCCAGCCACTGGTGTCCTACCTGGGGTAAATGAACATTTGTCCATGTTTCCCCCGGGAGAGGCCACAGAACATGATGAAAACAAGTGAGATGATCTGAACTGAGCCTTCTTTATGCCTGTGTGGTCCATGGTGGCAGCACCAGCCACAGGTGAGTAAAGGGAACCTGGAATGTGGCCAGCGAGATGGAGGAAGTGACCTTTCAATTATTTAAATAGTCACATATGGCAAGTGGCTTCCACACGGTTCAGCAAAGGCCTGGAATTGACATTTTCATGCAGGCAGGGTTAGAGAAAACTGACAGGCAAACCAGTTCCTAAAACAAAAAATTTTAATGTTTTTTTTTTCTTTTTTCTTTTTTTTTTTTTTTTTGGTGGGGTGGGTTTGACATCTAGTCTTTTCTAGATGAAGGTCTACAATGGTCATAGATACCTGCACGAGAGGCGGCTTCCACCGCAGGTTCTTCAGGGGAGCCGGAGTAAAGTTGAAAGAGCCTGTGGGCCTCTTCTTCAAAAGCAGCACCACACCCGTAGGATTCTCTCTCAACTTTCTCACCAGATTTTTCAACTGCCAACCGACCTTGAAAAGGAGAGGGGGAGACTTGCTCGTGAGCCATGAAAATCCAACCCGCGAACTTATCTCAAAGAAATTCATGTTATGAGCAAATAGGTCAATGCAAATATGTTCATCTTAGCACTACTTCAGGCACTGGAAAAAAAATGGGTACAAAGTGTAACTTTAAATATATATATATATATATATATATATATATATACAGGCTGCAGAGATGGCTCAGCCATTAAGAGCACTAGCTGCTCTTGCAAAGGGACTGGAGTTCGATTACCAGCACCCATATTAGGTGGTTCACAATTCCCTGTAAATACAGCTCTAGGAAACTTGATGCTCTATTCTGGTCCCCATGAACATCTACACATGCACTTTCGCACACGTGTGCATGCACGCACACACACACACACACACAGTTTTAAATGTACAGCTATGGAGGGAAAATTACTTCCCAATAAGTAAACTCACCACTGTCTGCCGATTAACTTGAATGACTTCGTCACCAGCGTGAATCTTCTGAGACCTGTCTGCAGGAGACTACACAGAAAAGAGAGAGAGACCTGGCTTAGGTGTCTGACCCTTTCTTTCTGCCTCTTTCTTCTGTAGACAATGACAATAGAAATAAAACTTTCTCAAGAAGAAATAAAAACAAAATTAAAGTGGTCTGTGGGTCTTGGCATATAAGCCTTGTGCAATGTACTATGATGTTGGTTGCAGCATCTCATTAACACCTGAATTCATCGAAATATGAAATGTGGGGGTATATTGTTGGAATGGTTAGCTGATAAAAGTCATATATTTGACTGTAAACAAGTGGGAAAACTTTACATATGTCTTGTGAAAGCAGATGAACCATTTAGTATGTAAGAATCACTGTAATTATTAATAAACACTAATCTTTTTTGTTGTATTTTACAAATTACCATAATGCCATTAAATAAGAAGTTAATGGAAACAAAAATTTTATTTCTTTAAAGAAAAAAGTGTTTTCATCATCAGGCTATGAGTAAGGAAACAAGAATCTTGGGCTGGAGGAAGACTCAGAGATGAAGCACTAGCTAGGCAAGAATGGGTTACAAAGTCAGGTGCCCGGGGCCTCGGTAAGGCTGGACGTGGTCAGGGTGTGTGTATGTTCTGTGCTCCTACTGTAAGACAAATGGCAGAGGCAGGAACCTGGAAGCTCCCGGGATACTTACTTGGGGGACTCAGTGGCAGACAACAGCAGACTCTGTCTCAAGGTCAAAGGCAAGACTGACACCCAAGATTGTCCTCTGCCCACTACACACATGGAGTGAGGCATGTGCACACCTACACTCATAGGAACACACACACTGTTATATATACACAAAAGAGCAAACACACATACCATATATACACACATATACATATATACGCATGTATACACCACATGCACACATCATACACACAGAAAGACTTTTCAAAAAGAAAAAACTGTGGGGCTGGAGAGGTAGCCCCGCAGTTAATTCCCAGCACCCACATGGCAGCTCCTAACTGTAATTCTAGTTCCAGGGAATCTGGGACCCTCACACAGATATGCATGCAGGTAAAACACCAATGGCCACAAAATACAATAAACCATTTAATAATAATAATAATAATAAAAAGGACAGAAAAGAATGTATGCTTTGTCCCTCCTGAATTACCTACTGCTATTACTTTACAAAAACAAAGAACTCCACCAAAGGAAATAAGCCACTCGTCAAATGTGCTGCCTAGGATACTCTTCTCCCTTAAGTGAACAAAAATTATTTCTGTTTAAGACACATCACATGACCTAAGAGGGAAAGATAAACCTTGGATTTCTAATTAAACACTATCTAGGTCAGAGTATTTAATTATGTAACGTACATTGAGCGGGCGGAACTTCAATTTACAGTTCTGAAGACAAAATAGCACTTGGGGACATGGGGGGCAGGCAACAAAACTCAAAACACACTGGCTGTATGTTCCTCACCCAACCACTGTGATAGGCTCAACAAGAAGTTAGCCGGCAGCATTAACTGTGGGAACACTGCCTCTGCTTTATCCGGCTCAGCTGAAGGCACAGGTAACTAGGCTGGTTATTTTCAAAATAGCTCATCGGTTGCCATAGCGACAGCAGTGCCTCATCAGAGACTAGCAACCAGCTCAACACTGGGAGGAGACACCAACCTCTTCCTTTTCAGTTTCTTTTTAAAGACGGATGCTCCTTCCTTTAGCAGTGTGCCAGCTGCTGAGGTTAAGTTCAAACCCCACCAAGCACCATCTACTTCACCTCCATGGGCTGAGGATTCATTTGAGGCAAGCTTCATTTTTATAAGACGTGCCCCAAAGCCAGGAAATGAACTACTGTCCTCGACTGACTTCCCTTCCAAAGCATCCGCGTGTCTTCATTTCTCAGGTGTGCCATCAAGTGATACAGGGTTGTGTTTGGCAGAGTACTGATAACCAGAGAGCCCGATACCATAAATCCCCCAGGCCAGGAGCTCTTACAGAAAAACGATGCTAGTTGTGGTGTGCCCTCAGAAAGGCGGTGACCCTGAAGGACAATGCCCCTTTCTTCTGAAGCACAATCCGCTCCCACTAGAGAGGGCTGTTTGGGCTCCTGAATAAGGTCACGACCTCCAGAAAGAAGTCAGATGAATAGAGAACACCACCACAGAATGATCTGCCTCACCCTGACTGCTGAGGTCACTCCAAAAACACACACTGCGCTGCTAAGAATGGCCTGCTGCCTTTGTGTCAGCCCAAAGCCCAGGGTGGAAGCACACAGAACTAGAGAAGCAGAGGGTGACTCCTGCCCACCACTGCCCCACTTCATCCGGACACTCTAAGTGAAACCACAGTTACCTCTGTCGGCGGCTGAAGAGCTCATCTGGAGCTAGCATTTCCTACTGCCAACCAAGTACAAAATATCCATGAGCCCATACACAGCACCCAGAACATAACCTTGAGAAGCAAGAGCATGACAACTCCCCAGCCACAGCTACAAGACCTAGCCCCGGGTCTAAGCGCATGCCAGGCCCTCAGTAAATGCTTTAGTGTTGAAAGACCAAAGTAATGGACAACACTTTTAATGGATACCCACATGGAATTAAATGAGCTTTTGGCTTTTCTTACTGCTTAACATGATTATAAGTAACTCCCCCATCCCTACCCCAGGGCAGCTTCCATTCAGTTCTAGAACAGATGATATGCAGGTAAATCCTAGGTCTGCCACCCTGGTTTATGAATCCAGTGGGAATTTGGGGAAGATACATTGTTATTCGTGCCTGACATTTCACTTGATTCTAAGGCAGCATTGTTAAGTCTCCCATTGTCTCTAAACAAGAGGGGGTAGCAGAGGAGGAGGGAGCAGCACACGTACAAACCACACATTTATCAAAGAGTAATGTGCCTTCAAGGAGACCAGGGTGAGTCTGGAACCACCCGAGTCTGGTGATGGCAAACAGCACAGTCACCAAATGACAAGACGTTACAACTTCAGTCCTTGGAGACTGAAATGGCCACCATCCTTCTGAGTCCTCCAACTGAACAATGTGGCACTTGAGTCTGCCCTTGCTGTGGTTGTGGGGGACTACACCAGTTCTCCAACAGGGACACGAAGTGGAGGCGGGTTACACAAAGGATGACGCTTGATTCCTCTGGAAGCATGTCTGGACGACATCAATACTTCCTGTGCCTCTGTCACCGATTGGGTGAGAAGGGACAGAAAGTCCTCGTGCAGGCTAGAGAGATGGCTCGGCATTTGAGAGCACTTACTATTCTTGCAGTGGACGCAGGTTTGGTGCCCAGCACCCACATCAGACAGCTCACAGTGCCCTGTACCCCCAGTTCAGGGGATCTGATTCCCTCTGGCCTCTGCAGGCACTTGTACTCTTGAGGTGCATATAAACACAGACACAGACAGACAGACAGACAGACAGACAGACAGGCACGCAGACACACACAGACACACACAGACACACACACAGAGAAAGACACACAGACACACACACAGAGAAAGACACACACACACACAGAGAAAGACACACACACACACACTCTAAATTTAACTTAAAAATCCCTCTTGATTCTCATGATCTTTCTTATCGCCAACAGGGAATACTTAAAACACTCCATCATCCACTCATTTGTCTATCAGAGCTACCAGGTTGATTTAAAACTCACTCACTACCTCTGCAATGTCATTTTCTTACTATAACACTCAAGAGCAAGCATTCATCAAAGCTGACATCACATTTTATCAAAAAGCCTAATATGAAACTTAAATTAGACACACATTTTCACCACAGCGGAGCAGGGGGAAAACTGCCTAATTTCCCCCTATATTTTGGAATTATTTCCTCCCCTATTGGTTGATTAAAGAGACTCATGCCTCAAACATTTGCTTCTTTTACACAGGTGCAGGGTAGCTGTTGTAATATTCCTACTTCATGCCAATGTCCTTCAAGAGCTAGCCATAGTTTAGGTTGCAAGAAAAATACATTTACTTAGCTCTACTCTTTTCAGATTCATAATGTTTGAGAGGATAATGAGTAATCCCAAGGTTGGGGAGATGGCTCAGTGGGTAAAGGGTTTGCTGTGCACATCTGGGACCTGAATTCAGATCTCCAGCATCCGGGCAATACTCTAGGCCCAGCGGTGCACTCCTATAACCCTACAGAAATAGGAGAAACCCTGGGGCTTGCTGGCCAGCTAGCCTAGCCAATCGTAACATCCTATCTCAAAAATTAAAGTGGAGGGTAACTGAGGAAAACACTCAACATTGACTTCTGTCCTCCACACAAATGCACACCCATATATATATATGAGCACGCTCACACAATCATGTACACACGCACACTGTACATACCGCCATCAACCCCAGTTCTACTGGGAATGACTCAACAACAAAGAGATAGTTATTTTTCTGCTTTTGGGTTCACACTTCCATGGTGTAAAAGGAATAATTAGTACAAGGTGGGGGGGGGGGGAGATGCCACGGCACATGAACCAGAACAATAAAGGGCAATTTAAATAATAAACTGACAGTAGCTGGAAACAAGCAGCAGCCAGTCCCCCAACAGAATAACACAACATGCCATCACAGCAGCTCTCACACGTCGCACACACGTAAGCCCAAAGCTCAGAGCTGTGTCAAATCTGTCTAAGCACACAAGGGCTTTCACACCTCATAAGTGCACACTTACATTTTCCGTGGTTCCAGTAATCACATGCAATCCATCATAGGTTGACTTGATGTACATACCCTAGAGGGAGTCACCAACATATTAACTCGTTATCTCAACATTCACAGAGAGCTGCAGCGAGACAGACTTTGAAAACATTGAACAGTTCCTTTGGAACATCGGGTGCTTTTTCTAGCCTTCCAAAACACCAGGAAACTCAACCCAGAGGGCATCGAGAGAGACAACTAAACAACCGAACACCGGTGGAAGAGATCAGATGGGCAATCTCTTTGATATTATAATGTGTGTACTGGGCACATAGGATTCTGCCACAATTCTAGGATGGAGGAATTTTCTCAGGCCTGCTCAGCGAGCGAGCCAGGCATTTCAAACAAGGGCTCCTCTTCTCTGACCATGGCTTTTTTCCCAGGAAAACAATGCAGTTGGCTCCATCTGGTATCAGTGGTACACATGGGATGACTTTTGAGAGCCTATTGTAAGTAAGGCAGAACGGGCTTGCAGATGAAGCATGTGAACTAATACAACACAGATAGCAAATCAGTAACTGCCCATTGCTCCGTCGTAGGGAAAGCCAAAGGATGGGTGGGTGGGAATGCTATCCCAAGAGACACCTTTAGGCAAACTCAGGCAAAACACCACGTTACCAGATGAATATCTCTGATGATAGCCCAAACATCAGCGTTCTTACTAAACTATTACAAGATGAAGGGAGACAGAAAAAGGGGGCAGCTGGGGTCAAACAGTTTTACCTGATTATCTACACTGACCTCGTCTAATCTGTAACCTACACCATTCTGCAAATAGAATCTCATGAAATCCTAAAACCCTCATGGTTCCCAGCATTCCTTCCAAGGGCTTTCAATCTGAAGTCAATGTGTGTCTGTCCTACGGAACTGTCCATCCCCTCCTCCCTCCCCCCGGCCATCACTACGATGACTCTGTGGTAGGAAAGGACAATGCCGGGGAATTCCTCCTACTTTAGACTATGCTAATCAACTCTTTACTTTAGAGCCAAGCAAGAATGCACTTCTACCCACTAAGAAGTTGGAGCTTGCTGACAGTGTTTTTTGTTTGTTTGTTTGTTTGTTTGTTTGTTTTGCCTTTCTATTTAAGAGCCTGTCTTCATATCCCTCATAATGCTTACATCAGTGATGCCAACTTCCTCCTCTGTGTCCATCACTATCACCATCACCAGCATCAGTAGCTACAGCCTCCCACTGCCCAAGCTCTGTGCTCTCAGCACTGGGCACTTGGCATCACCATCTAGGGTCATCCGTTCAGCAGGCCCATGAGGAAGTCCACATGGAAAGCTCTCTGGTTCAAAGGCTCTACGCTAATCAACGAGCCTCCTGGGTTTTTGTAGCTCCTCAAATTAATCCCGTGAGAAGTCACCTGCACTGCACGCATCCTGAGAGTTTGCTATTACACACCTCACACAGGATGAAAGAAACATTCCTGAGAATGTTCACTTCCTTCCACCAGCCTGCTCATACCCATCATAAGTGCTAACAGGGACCTCCAGAATAGATGGTATTCCCGCAGACCATCTCTCCTCTGTGAAAATGTTTTGTATTTCCTTGCATTGCTAAGCCCTAAAACATAAATGTGTAAAGATGGGAGGGGAGAGGTTTGAAATTGGATTTATGCTTGAGAGGTAATTATCTTAACAGAGTTTAAGATGGCAAGTCCCTAACTATATGATATGATATGTTATGATATGACATGATGTCTCCACTACTCCGTGAGGACAGTAAGACGCATTCTACGGCTTACAAACCAGCAGACTTCTTACCAAGCCTTCCCCAGGTCGAACATTCGGTAAGTGGACTTCCTCTAGGCAGGCACACTGGCTCATAACAGGATCCGCAGTCGAGCGCATTGTTTTGTCACAGATGCTATTCAAAACCTTGACCTGCAGTTGAGGGAGGAGTTCAATCGTTAACCAGGTTTATCTCAAGTGGATTTTTAAAGAGACACACCCCAGGCATACACTTTGGCTCTGGCCAGCCCTCGCTATGATAATCCTGCTCAGTGAACGCCTGGCGTTTGGACTCCGTGTCTACAGTCAGTAGGAATCTTTCTACTGTATCGGCTTTCTATAAAAGCACAAGACAGGAAGAAATCCCTTCGGCGTCAAAGGAGAAGTTCTGGGACCACCTACAGCTTGTTAGTATAGGTATCTCACACTCTCTTAAATACTAAATATGGACAAAGGACAAAGAGATTTCACTCTAAATTATATCGTTTTGTTTTTAATAAGCTTCAGGTTGGCAAGGTTCGGGGAAAGGCTCAAGCGACAAACGCACTGGATCCCCACAGACTTCCTCTCTCCGGGCCAGCTTTCTCCATTATTAACCTCTACACGGGGTTGTACATTTTCACAGCTGATGAACCAATATTTAAATCCATAATTGTTAGTAGCATTCACTTTTGTGGTGTAGATCCTAAATGTTTTATATCCAATATGAAAGCTTTCGACTGGGTGATCCCATTGCCGACAGTGTCCCCGTGCTCAGCATAATCCATCATTTCATCCTTCCTCGCCCCGCACTCCCGGGCAGCACTGAACTCCAAGGCTTTGCTTTCTCTACAAGATCAACCAGCTGGATTTACACACAGCATACAGCCTTTCCTTAAGAGCTTATTTCAATTAACAATATATACATTTTTTCTACGTCTTTTCACAAGTTGACAGCTCATTTCTTTTTTACTGCTAAGTAATAGTCTATGTTATGAATATTCCACATATGTTTATCCCTTCACCTATAAAAAGACAGCTTGTCTCCTTCCACTTTGGGGAATAAAGCTGCTATAAGCAGTTCAGGGCAGATTTTTGCTGACATTAAGTCTACAACTCCTTTGGGTAAATACCCGACAGTGAATCTGGTGGATCATACAGTTAGAATACGCTTAGAACTGCCAAACTACCCTCCAAACTGTCCAAGTCTTCGTCTCTCCAAGCAACAAGGGGCCATGCTCCACACGGTTGCCAACATTTGCTGTTGTCCGTTCTGAATTTTAGCCAACGCTACTAAGCATGTAGCAACGTGTCCGGGTTTCAGTCTGTAACTCCCTGATCACAAATGACCACATTTTATGCACTTATTTGTCCTCTCTGTGTCTCCTCTGGGTAAAGTGTCTCTTCAAATCGGATTTTAGCTTTCTTATTAGACATGTCTCAATATTTTGATTCTGTCCTTTAAAACATTTTTAAAATATTCTCCCTCTAACTGTGGCCCTGACACCTCACTGTCTTCAAAGTGGATCTCACAGAGGGACGTTCCTATTCCTTTTTCTTTGACAAGCTCCTCTTTTGGTTTCCTATCTAAGAGCTCCTCTGAAGCCCAGATGACCTAGATTTCCCCTGTAACATCTCAGTTCCATCTTTAGCCCCTTGGTCGCAATGACCCCCTTCCTGTCACTCTACAGACACAGGAGAGTACCCACAGGGAGTGTCTTCCTACAGAGGCCATCTGAGCTACGCAAATATTCTAACAATCAGAGCATCTACCCTTCCAAAATCAAAGGAGCAAAGGCATCCGGAAATTCCAAAGGGTGACTGGCTCTTCTTTCCAAGGTGGAGGATCCATGAGGTGGTACTTTTTCACATCCCTCTAGTTCTGTTTAGCTTCTTTATTTATGGAAAATATATTTATAGCAGTTTCATTGCCAGATTCCTCAATCCAAAAGAAGGAGGGGCTTTTTATCAAAAGGGCACAGGCTGCCTGTGTCAAAAGGAGGAAGCGATGATGAATCCTTCCAGAATGCTCTTTACATAGTCATAGGACATACCCCTCCCCCGTCGGAAAGCTTTTTGCCAAGGTATTTTTCTAAATCACAGTAGTTCTTCAATGAAGCACACACATGATTCTCACCCTGATTTGCATGCTAATTAGCTGCTGCATGATCATTCAGTGCCCTGCTGAATGATCCAGAAGAAACAACAACAACAGTAAAATCAAACAAACAGAGACCCCCGGTGTAGCCAGGAGGCACAGGAATTTTCACAAGCAGTGTCCTCCTTAAACAACTTTCACTCTTCCATCTAAAGTAGCAAATCCCCAGAGCCAGTATTTCAACATTTATCTTGACGTAATTAGCCAGTGCATGAAATTAATATGATTGCTACTGCCTTTGGAGAATGAATTGTACACTGAGTTTTAAGAAAATACACTTACCACATTTAGAACTTTATCCTCCATTTCTGCTACGAGGCAATCCTAAAAGAAGAGAGTTAAGAATGAAAAAGATTAAAAGATAAAGAAAATGGTCCAACACAACTGGTCACAAAGCAAAGAATAAAGGAGGTGGGTTACACAGCCCCAACTGGTGTTATCTACAGTACAAGCCCTACACCTAGGGCTCGGGGAAAATCCAGGAAGAGGGGGCAGAAAGAGACACTGGAGAAGGGCGTCTCGTCTGCTGCTAAATAGAGTCTTTGAGACATGACAGGGAAGCAGCACCCATGAATCTTAACGGTGTGGTTCTCTAAAGAAGACCAAATTATGACAGCACCAACTGCCGAGACAGCAAGGATGGAGGAATGTCAAACTGCCCTAGGAGAAGAGCCCCAGCCAATCAGGGGAGGGAAGATCTGCTTCCTCCAGGGATGAGGCAATCCCGGTGGCCTCCCCTAAAAACATGTGCATGTGTGCAATACTAAAGGGGTTCAGAGGTGTGTGTGTGTGTGTGTGTGTGTGTGTGTGTCATTAGTGTGAGGTAAAGTGGGGGAGGCATGGGAGGAGTTGGAGGGGGCAGAGGGAGGGGTGGAAATAAATGTAAATATAGTAAAGAGTGGGATTTTAGATCTTTTGAGAAATCACCAGTACACTCGGGCTAAGCCAGCCCTGCAGGCCTGGGTATAGAAATGGGACACAGTGGAGACAGCTGACATTTCCCTTCTCCTAAGGCCCTAGCACCTTTTAACCCATGCGACTCATGCTAACAGGTTTTGAAAATCTACTGGGAAAAACAAAACAAAACAAACCCATGAACTGAGAGCCCAGAGCTCAGTGGATGTGTGCTTGCCTAGCACGCACAAGGCAAGGCCCTGGTTCTCCAGTCCAAACAAACTACACAACTGAAGTCTACCCACTGGTAACGAAAAACTTGAGAATCCTATTTATGGTTCCCAATGTGACCCCAGGCTCAACTAGCCGTGGGCCAACAAGCCAGCAGCCCTTTGCTCAAGTCCTGCCTATAAGAGTAACTTCCAAAATAAGGCCTTGGGTAAACTTGGCCACAAAAGTTTATTTTAAGCACCAGTGATATTAAATCACATACTTCAGTCCTTAGAAGATGAAAAAAGTTGAACAAAACAGTCATTAACACGCTGCCAAAAAAGTGGTCTTGAGGCATGCTATTGATGACATTAAATAAAAGGCTGGAATGCAAAGCATTATTTTCTTAGCTAAAGAACAAAACTCATAACACTGTGCCAGCAGGGTTAGCCCATTATTGGAATCACCATTGTCCTTCCTCCAGAAGCCATCAAAATGAAACTCACATGAGACTTCCACAGGTAGCCTTCTAGAACCATCTGCACTGGGGGATTTCAACCCAGACCACCAGGCAAATAAGAGGAAATCAGGGAAAAGGGTTTCTCTTTCATTATTTTTTAAATTTAGATTTATTCATTTTATTGTAAATTTGAGTGTTTTGCCTGCAAGTATGTCTGTGTACCACAAGCATGCTTGGTGGCCCTGGAGATCAGAAGGCGGTGCTAAATCGCCTGGAACTAGAGTCACGAATGCTTGTGAACCAAGAGGATGCTGGGAACCAAACAGGTGCTCTTAACTGCTAAGTGGTCTCTCAGCCCAGAGACGAACCTGGTTTTCTTTAGCCCCTGAGTACAACCCCACACTGAGCCAACAGCCTCAGGTGTGTAAAAAGATATCAATCAGGTCTGAATTTACCAGGTTACAGTTCTCATTTAGGTTGGAATGTCATGTTTAGGTCATTTTTCTCGACCATCAGCACAGAGGAGGGCTACCAGTTTTTATCCTGTATGACTTCCTTGTCTTCTTAAATCTTTAAATTTTTTTCTCTGCCAGATATAAACAAAAGATGAAGCAACAGCTATTTTACTGTCCCCAAAAATCGATGCTGACTCCCAAGAAAAAAACCAACCTAGGGGAAAAAACTTAAGAAATACATTTTCCCACAAGCATGATTACTGATACAAACCTAAGCTACACAAGCCACTTTGTACATTAGTAACTGCAGCTTGGAGATGTATTGTCCTGCCTGTATGTCATGCATAGGAGCTAGCCCATCTATTTCCACAACAGGTCACTGACTATCACTACACAGAATTGCTACATAAACAGCAACTCTGAAAACTGTTCATTCACGTGGCTTTCGGATGGCGATGACACTAATGACGGTGGTCACCGAGTCAGAAGGCCACTCCTACTACACCAGGGCACATGAGTCAAGCAAGGCTGAGGCGTGATCTATTGGTTCCTGATATTTGATTCTTTGGAATCCATCCATCCAAATGGGCGAGACTGATCAACGGGCTCAAGCGAGAACCCCCAAACTGTTCAAGCCACCATGTGAACGGACTCACTCATTACCTTCCACCAAGCAAGGGCACGGTGGCTCCCCACACCCGTTCCTCCCCACCCGGAAAGGAAACAGCTGCAGGCATGACTTCATGTTATCTGGCATGGTAGCAGGGGAAGGAAGACAATGTTCCTGAACGAGTCACCCCCTCATGAGTCACGTGCTGAAGAGGAGTTTCACGACAGCCCTTGGTCAGCTGGATCGGCAGTCAGGGCCACCCGGGGCAGCTACCAGCGCGTTCCCAGGTGGGTCCTGTCCTCATTCCACCTCCCTAGGAATGGCACAGCCCTGTATAGCCTGCCCAACGCCTCTGCCCCTCCTTCCTGCTCAGTAAAATAGGACGGCAAGGCCGCGTCTCAGAAAACTGTTGGGAACTCAATGTGACCACAGGGCTCAAGGGCAAAGACACACCTGGCATGCAGTGCCCTCTTAATAAAGGTGTCTCCCTTTTGTCCACCCTGCTCCACTGGGCTCAAATACGACTTCCACTGTTCCATACCCGCCACTGCCTCCTCGTTCTGGTACCGCGTTACACTTACGTCTTCACGCCATTAAAAGGGTTCCCAATGTGGCTCCCAATGCCTTTGTTTCCTTCCTCTCATCTCACACCTGCATGTGTGTTTACACATGTGTACATGCATGTGTGTCCCTACACACTAATGACACGCATAAAGAAACGGTTCTTTCAATTATTATAGAAAAAAAAATTACAGTCCAAGAGCCAAGGGCATGTCTTTCCCAAAGTTCAGAAGGTGACATCCCATGTATATTTATGTGTCTTTAGGTCATCTTTCTTTAAAAGGTGCATATGTGTATACATGTATGTATACATGTGTGTATATATATTCATATGTATAACACATATTCATGTGTGTATACCTATCCATGTGTATATACATATTCTTATGTGTATATACATATAAACATTCATATGTATAAATGTATTCTTATTATATATATATATTCATTCACTTTTATAAAATACATATGAATGAACTGTCAAAGACCAACCTGACAGTTATGAAAGTGTGTTCAAATTAAAAAACTTTTAAGTTCCAGAAAATGAGGGCAGCATATATATTTCCTTCTTTCTCCTTAAATTATCAAGTCTGATTCTGGGAAAACAGTATTTCCACAAAATATCCAAAAAGCAAGACACTAATATTCCCACTAATATTCCTTTTGAGGCAGCGCTATGCTTTCTACACTATATCACATATCACCTTCAAGACCGTATTTGAGGTGGATGCCGTTTTTAAAACATCTCATATTTCGCTTGAGACTGTAGCTTGGTGCACTTGCTATATAAGTAAACATACTCACAAGAAGATGCCCTGCCTTCTAGTCCCAGCAGCACACACAAATGTACCAAAAAAAAAATCCTTCATATTATTTACACTTGTGAGGTCATATCTATGACTCTTGTAAATAAAACATCTCTCTCCCTCCCTCACTCTCTTTGCTTAGTTCCTATACTCTCTGACTACCTCTTTTCCTGCCAGGGTAAATACAATTTCTCAAACACCAGCTATATTTAATTCTCCCTTTACATATAGGTTTATGGACATCTCACTATATTTGTGTATATGTACATATACACACACATATGTAGATATGTTCATTAAAAGTTTTTAAGCATCATTTTTCTTTGCATCTTAAAAAAAGACATAGCCTGGCTGTCCTGAAACTCACCAAGTAGACCAGGCTGGCCTCTAACTCTACCTACCTCTGTCTCCCAAGTCCTGGAATTAAAGGCACTTCTCATTTCATTTTTATGATGCCTTGTTGTTGCTTTTTTTTTTTTTTTTTTTTTTTTTTCCCTTACTCACAAATGGGACTGTGAAGGGGAACTTACAGGAATCCCACCAGGCTGTCTGACAAGGCAAACATCAGTGTTCTCCCATTACAGGCAAAACAGAGAAGCCTCGTGAATCTCAAATGACTTATACGGGCCTAGGGCTGATCTGCTGTAGGGGTAGGATTTGGACCTATGAAGAATATGATCTTGGCCATCAGACTAACTCCCCCAGTGAGTACCACAGGGAAGCAGACGCAAAAGGCGCACACTCAAACTAGCAAGCATGGTACCTTTTGTGGCCTGACAAAACAAAAGACTAATTCCGTTAGCTTCTTGGGGGACAGCTGCCTGTCTCCCCACTGAAATGTACTTTGAAAATCACCCTCTATCGTGTGCCATGAGGCCCCAGAGGGCAGAAACAAGTGTAGAAGGACACTCCACAGAAGGCCCAGACACACTGGACCTGGACCTCACAGTTAGAAGAGGACTATATTTTCCCAATCATCAGCGCATAGTAACAACAGATCTCCACCTGCCAGGTGAGCACAACCTGCCAGGTCAGTTATCCCAATGACATCTTCTCAGCAAGGCTTGCAGCCATGGGTGCCAACCACCGCGCCTCTCCATCCTGTGTCCCTCCCTCCCCAGCTTGCTAACTTTATGTAACTTCACACATATGTAACTTTGCTCACAGACCTCGATTCTTGCTTCTCCTTCCCAGATACTAAGCTCATTGAGTCACAGACATCTCGTCTATGTATTCAGTCTGGCACCCTGGTGCCTAGAACAGTGGCAATCACAGGCGCCAAGTAAATATTTATTGAAGGAACTGTCCCAATGCCTGCAAAGCCAACATTAACCTCATCAGGCAAAGCCTACTGGTCCTGTAAAAACAAACACCATTGCATCTGCCCCCTGCCTCCTCACTTTCCATCTGCTCCCCCATGCTCCACAGCTGCGGCCCAAATCAGGCTCACCACCGAGGACCCCGTCAGAGAATAACACAGGTGCACCGAGGAGCTACAGTGGCCCACTTGTCAATCTTGTTATTTGACTCTTAACACTTTGATGTAATGGATTGCCTGTAAACTACATTATAAATCAAAGGAGGGATCAGAATAGCAAGCGGAGGGAAGCAGGGAAGGAAAGGAACCCTGAGGTAGGCATTGGGGAAACACAGAGCGCCATCAATGCCTGGTCTCAGACAACATGCGCTCTTGCATCACAGCTGACATCAGACGCTTCCCATCAAAACTGCCTCATACATCATAAAAATGAGCAAAAACACAGTTCCATATAGTGTCCCTGCGCATCTCTGTCAGATCCCAGATCCAGAGCACACGTGATCCAAACTCAGTGGCTACTCAAGACTAGATCTCAAATAACGGACACAAGCAAAGCTACATTTCATTCTGTGCATGCGATCGCCTGTGCGTGGGTGCTCGCAATCCCCATCGCTCGTGTTTGTGCGCGTGCGCATCCATTTTACTGCATAGTCAGAAATAAGGGAAGGAATACCTTTTTTTTTTTTTTAATCAGACCATCCATAGAAACAAATACCAAATCACAAAATTTAAAACCAAATGGTGAGATTGAAGGACGGCTCACTGGTTAGGAGCACTTGCTCATACCATAGACGACCCAAGTTGTATTCCCAGTATCAAACTGGGAGGTTCACAGCACCTGGAACTGCAGCTTCGAGGGATCCAATGCCCTCTTCTAGACTGGGCATTTGCACGTATGTATCTGGGCAAATGCACAGATGCATATACACAGAAATATACACATGGAGGGGGGAGACAACCCTATTAAAAGTGAAATCTTTAAAACCAAATAGATATGAAGAAAGAAACCCCTTCCTTATATCTATAACAAACTCAATTAAAAAATAATTTATGAGAATCTGCTATATGCCAAGTAACATCACAGCGCTCGCTGTCTTTTTATTTTAGGTTATATCACAGAAGCTAGACAGATCACAGGCTAACCTAAAACTTTACAGGTTCTTGCTAACATATCTAGGTCTGACTGGAGAGCCACGAGAGAAACTGACGCGCCGGGCCGCCATGAACAACAGAAATGGAGGCTGGCTGTGTGTAGTAAGAAAAACCTGACCCCGTCTCCCAGTGGGAGCCATTCCCTGTAAATGTCTAAAGGATAAGCTGCTGAGGTTTGAGGTTATTTGTTACAGCCTCACAACCTGTCCCACCCTGACCTTTTCCCCAGCAACAGGGGTCCAATGAGAAGTCAGAACCAGCAGCCACAACAAAGCAGTGAAAGATGGGAATGAAAGGCACTCCAGCATGCTCAGAGGAATGCACAGGTATCCGTGACTACCAGACAAGAGAGGTAATCCCTGAGCTGCTGGGGTGCTCATTTTTCACAGAAGACATCTGTTCAAATGGAAAGCCTTTCATCTCCACCGGATTCTGACGGAAGCGGAGGATGGGACACTCTGTGCACATACCGGGAATGCTTGGGATAAAGAAGAGGAGAAAGTTCTAGAAACTGATGATGATGCATTACTGACCTTCTGGACTGTCGTGGTCAGGTCGAGGCACAGCTGGATGATTTTGTTCTTCGTCACAGAGAAATCTGTGATCCCTGTGAACGGAGCCCTGGGAAGGAACAGGACTCTCGTTAGTGAGGAGAAGACGAGAAGGAAATAAATCCCTGGGAGTCCCCACCCTAGGCACATGCATGCACGGTGACTTAAATTGTCTTTCATTGTGATGTTTCTTCTGAACATATAAAATATAGAAATCTGACCCTGAGAACCAGCTCGAATACCAGAAGGAGGGTCCTACACATTGCCAAGAGAAAAAGCGATCGATAGCACTATCTAGCTGTATCACCCATGACCCACAACAGTCACCACCATGGTAAAATACTCTGAAAGACCCCGGAGGTGACAAATAGCTATCTAAGTGCTCACTAGCAATGATCTCATGCCTGGCACTATAAATTTAGCCAAGTACCTGTGGCTGGTGAAGCCATGGGATCCAGAGGCAGGCCCACGACTGCAGTATCCTAAGCCGGTATAATGTCTAACCACATTTGAAAAACTTGTCCTTAAACCCACAGATAAGTGTAGCTCTCAACCCTCACCAAGTAAGCTTCTTGTGCTGTAGATAGAGATCATTATAGAAAACCGAAACTGGTCACAAAGCAGGGACCAAATGACCATGGGGTGCATGCCCCCAAGTGATCTATTTTCAGCACAGCACCTACAGCTAAGGGAGAACTGTGGAAGGGGGTTCAACTGAGGGTATGGAGGGGAGGGTGGATCTAGGAGAAGCTGGACGGAGAAACGGAGGTTGAACACGAGCAAGATACACTGTCTGAAAGTCTCAAATATTAATAAAAATGTTGTATTACTTTTGAAAAAAATCAGGAATCTGGATAGGGGAGAAAAAAAAAAAAAAAGACAAAAAATACAACCGAAATGAGCTGAGCCAAGTCCACGAAATGCTTCATACCAACCACATACCTCCACCGCTAATGTTTAATCTCAGTAAATCACCTTTGGCACAGTTCCACACCCTCTGAACTTGGGTTCCTTCATCCCTGCTGTTGACCTTCAGAGTAATAACTTCCAAAGGAACAACTAAGATCTACCTCTGACCCGTGACCCCTAGATTCCAGGGAGAGGGGACCTAAGGAACAATGGTTTCTCTTCCCGAGGCAGAGCTGAGGCTTCAGAGCATCGCAGGGCTCCGAGAGCTCCAGGATGCACTGTATCCATCACAGCTTACCGGTCCAGCCAAGCCAGCAAGGCCTTGGCAGCGCCAATGAGCTCCACCACGGAAGTCAGGAACTCATTGGGGGGCTTTCGAGACGTGTTCCCATCGTAAACGGGACTCTTCCGCCGGCTACTTATGTAATTCTGCAAATTGTGGGAAGACGCTCGAAGTTTCAGAGCCAAGTTCTTCATATTATCCGTCTCAAGGCCATAATTCTGTGGGAAATAAAATCAAAGGGAAAAGCTGTTAAACTACCAACAATATCTAAACTCTCAAGTGACTGAGTAGCTGGATTAACTTATCCAACTCCCACAGAATCCTGCCCACTCCAGCCACCTCCTCACAAGCTAGCCCTTACTCTGCTCTTCCCACAGCCTCCTCCTGCCTCAAGGAAGGGGCTTTGCCCTCCCCTAGACCCTTATCATCTCAAAATGCTCTTTGTATAAATAGAAGCAAGGAGAGGACTTTCATATCACTCAGGCCTGGACAGATGTCCCCTCCTGGGACAGGACACTTGACCACTTAATTCAGAGCAGACTTCAGCCAACTGATGTATGGTGGGTTAACTCTAGTGAGGAAGGGTTTCTGTGCACAGCAGGGTCCTAGCAACCACACACACACACACACACACACACACCACACACACACACCAGATGTTCACTACCTGTATGTGACAACCAAGAATATCTCTCGAACATGACATTGCATAGTGCCTTCCAGTTATTCTCCAGACTGTCACCTACTTCTGCCCCTTCTGGACCACCAGCCAGGGCTCTGCATGCCCCTTACCACTGGTGACAAAGAGATGGATCTCCTACAAAAGGGACTGAGAAATGGCAGTACTATCAATTCACCTGCAACTTAACCTGTGCTTTTAACTCCATTAACTTATCTGCCTGCTGTAGAAACACCAACTTTAGCCTAGGAGTACAGCTCAGTGACAGAAAAAAGACAGAAATTTCGTGTGACGATATTGTCCTAGGCCCCCATTCAGATAAAAATAAAACAAATAATAACCAAGTCTGAGGTGATTTGGGGGAAGGAGAATTTGGTACAATATAAACAAACATGTTAAATCAATGTTTGGCCATTTTAGAGAAGAGAGGAGATATTGCAGGAGGTATACGATACTGTCCCAATATAATTTCAAAGACGGGACCTGGTGCCATTTGGAATCTGGGCACAACATATTAAGACACTTGCTGTATGCCAAGAACTGCTTGAGTTGTGTCCCTGGAGGGAAGTGGCCGGGGAAGGCACAAATGTGCCTGCAAGTTCGGTGTCTCAGCGAGGGATTCTAATGCTGTGGTGAAAAACCACAGCCAAAGGCAAGTTAGAGAGAAAGCATTTGTCTCCTCTTAAAGTTTGCAGTCCATCATCCAGGGATGTCAGGGCAGGAACTCAGGGCAGGAACCTGGAGGCGGGAGCTGATGCACAGGCCATGGAGGGAGCTGCTTAGTGGCTTGCTCATCATGGCTTGCTCAACCTGCTTTCTTATAGACCCCAGGACCAGTAGCCCAGGGGTGGCCCCACCCACAGCGAGCTAGGTCCTTCACATCAATCATCAATCAAGGAAATTTACCACAGCCTTGCCCACAGGCCAGTCTGCCAGGGTTATATCTTCAACTGAGGTTCCCTTTTCCCAGATGACTCTAGCTGATGTCAGGTTGAAAAAGAAAACTTGCCAGCATACCCAGTATCCCTTATCTCAAATGCGTGGGACTAGCCATGTTTTAGATTTTGGGTTATTTAGGATTTTGGAATACCTGCATGTACATGATTTACCGTGTGGATGGGACTCAATTATAAACATAAAATAACTGACTTTTTTTTTTTATTTCTATACCATAGCCTGGAGACAATTGCACATGGTATTTTTAGAGTGTCCAATGTCTTGACTCTGACACTTACAGGAGGTGAGATGAACAGTTCTCACGTCTGATCTCACGCAACACTCTGAATACTTCACAGATCTCAAATGGTCTGACTACAGACTTGCTGTCTGCATTACTACTATAAAGCTGAAGAAACCGAGGCCCCGGAGTGGTACATTGTGAGACTGCACAGCCAAAGACAAGGCTGGGATTCCAATCAAGAGACAGCAGGCAGGCCCAGCCTCTGGATCACCACGTTTCCATACTCCACTTCCTAACACCCTGCCCAAGGGAACGCCAAGCTGTGAGATCAGCACAGGGTGGACACTAGACAGACTAGACAGGAGTTCAGATAAACAGACTGGTGCAAGGTGCGCACACTTCATCCAGAAATCAAGAAGCTCGGGCAGGAACACTGACAGTTTGAAGTCAAGACGGACGCATAGGAAGGGAGGAAAGTATCAGGGCATCTCTGAACTGGCTCAGGCCACCTTGTGCTTGGGGATGAATATGCACAACCTATACATCTAAGGATGCACATATTTAGAGGCTTGCAATAACTTCCTTTTTCAGCAAGAAGTGAAGAGTTGATAACAAGAGGGATTGGCTAGTGAGAATGACTTTAAATCTGTACTGCTTCTACTCCTTTTAGAAAAAGATTTAGGAGCTGGGGAAATGGCCTGGTGGTTAAGGCCAGGGGCTGCTCGTGAGGAAACCCATGCTCCAGGCCCCACAGCCACATGGTAGCTCACAACCATCTGTAACTCCAAGGCCCTCTTCTGCCCTGTGTGGGCACAGGGCACACGGGCTAACAAAACACCCATACACACAAAATGAAAATAGATGTTTTAAAAGAATTAATTTTGAAAACTCAGAGGGGGTGGAGAGCCGGCTCAGCTCTTGGAGAGGACCTAAGTTTGGCTCCCGGCACCAACATCAGGTGGCTCACAACCATCTACAGCCCCACCTCCAGGGGATCTGACACCTCTGGCCTCCACAGGCACCGCAACCATATGCATGCACATACACCACACAGATGCACAAATGATTTTTTTTTTAAGAACAAAATCTTCTTTAACTTGGAAATTTTAGAAGGAAGAAAGCCAAGTTTTAAAAGCTTTTATACAATCTTCAAAAGAATACAAATCTTACATTCACCTTTTTCTTTTCCTTCTACCACCTGGCTTTCTGGCTTTTTCCCTAAAGTCTAAAATAGAATGTCCTCGTTCAGTGGAGAAGAGGAAATAAGAATAGGTTTCCATCATGGCTTTTCATTTCAAAGCCTCACGAATGGACAGATAAAGAGCCTACAGGACACAGCTTGTTTCGAAGGGAGTCTTGTACCTGGGATGCCAGGGAAGGCTCTCCCATTCTGTCACTTACTCAGCCTGCCAACTTCTAATCAAGAGCGTTCACTAAAAGCAGGAGTGGACGGTGGTCTGCAGCCAACATCGTCACAAATGTCTTGGAATTTTTACTCATATATATATATATAAGACACTTCTGGAAGCCAATGAAGATTAAAATACATTTTACTGTTGCAGAAGACTAAAATCCCTTCTCTTGACAAAGTTATTAAAAAGGGGGGATGGGGGAATGGGTGCTTATGATTGCTTCTTTCCATTTTTCCACTGGGTTGGTTCTAATGGGCCTCTTTCCCCCAAAATAAATCATAAAACGAGATGAGCTTGAGCATAATTTTATAAAGAGGCGAAGGTGGGGAGAAGCCCCCTCCCCTTTGCCCCTACTCCACAACAGAGAAGACGGCATGGTCTCTATTAGCTGGAAAGAGCCCTATTGTAGGGACACAATAAGGATTTCAGACTTCAGGGCCCCACACCCAAAGGGAAAATGAAGACTTTCTCAGACTAGGTCTGATTGTTTACTTTGTTTGTTTTTAAGATTTATTTAGCTGGCAATTTTGCCTGCAGGCCGGAAGAGAACACCAGATCTTATCACAAATGGTGAGCCACCACACGTGGGTGCTGGGAATTGAACTCAGGACCTCTGGAAGTGCAGCCAGTGTTCTTAACTGCTGAGCCATCTCCCCAGCGCGGAATGACTGTTTCCATGAGTCTTTCACCGAAACCTGTCTCCTCTGGAAACTGTTCTTGTATGGACATCAAATGGGTCGGAGGGTATGGCTTGGTGCTGGAGTGCACCAGGAAAAACAGGGTGAGAAAGAAGAGGAGACGCAGTGAAGAAATGAAGTTAGGAATAAGTTACGTCTCTGAGAACCCTCTACTGGATATATATCCACGAAAGCAAGTCTGCCTAGAAACCTCTCCGGCAGCAGGGTCAACTACAGTTCCACATCAGCTTCCCAGCAAACGAATTATTCAAAGCCAAACAGCCTCGCTCATGTGGCCATCCAAAGAGCATCATGGCATCAGATTAAACAAACAGTATAATTATGCTGTGTTATAACAGCATTTTACAGAAGATCCTATGAAGATTAGAGATACTTAATAAAACTATATTAGACTCAATCCTACCCAGAAAATAAGCAGTTTTACTTGCAGGCTCTGGGGGAGGTCCCCCTTCGTGCCCCCCTGCGACACAGTCAGGGTACAGTGCTATATAGAGTCCCCAGTGAGACTGAGGTCAGAGCCTGGCCTGCAGAGGAAATTAGCAGGAAATTGTAGGAGATAAAGCACAGCTTTAGGTCCTGGCATTGGTCCAGCTTTGTCCCTTTTTTTTTTTTTTTTTGTGCAGCATTTTTAAGGGGACAACTGCAACTCCTCTCTCTGCAACCCACCTGTCCTCCTCGCCTCCATACTATGGCTTTCAAGGCAATTTGCTCGTCCTCAAAGAATACTGCCAAGCGAAGGAGACCACACAACAGTGCAGAGCGTCCTCACCGGAAAGTCCGCCAATCTGTGTTTCCCCCAGCAAGCGCAACGGAAGTAAACTCAAGCACGCTTGGCTCTGAAGGGCAGACGGTTTTCATAATACACGGGGTAACCGGGCACACCCTCAACCGCGCAGAACACCCACTTGAGCCCAGGGCCACATCTAAGGCGACAGTTACTGTACAGATGACAGGAACAGACACCGCCTTCCCCCGGGCGTCACAGAAGAAGTAGCCTTGAACAGAGCCAAGATCAGGACCCCAAAAATCCTGCCTCCCAGCCCAGCACTCAGGCCACTTGGGCCACGGCGCCTCCCCTGTGGCAGCTCATTTTTCAACCACAAATAATTTTCCCATTGCTTTCCTAAACAAGAGCGGTGCGCCTCAGAGCGAGAGACGAGGCTCTGTCCATTTAAAGGAGAGTACTCGCAGTGTGGCGGGTGTGATGGAATGCAGACCAGCCACGGCGGTGTCGCCACACACATTGGTTCCCACCATGCTGGGTGATGTAACTGTATATCCCCTTGGCTCAGGTTCAGAGTGTTATTAACCCAGCCGGACTGCAGGGGAGGGTACTCAACCCTGACAGGTAAGTGAACACCTTCCTATGCGTGACCCCATGACAACACACCCGGCCCCACCCCAGCCAGTCTGTAAGCAAATGCCCTTACAGGTGTTTTAGGCCACATCTGCTTAAATCACTTCGAAGACACTGGTATAATGGAATTACCAGGGCTTGGGCAGGGTTGAAACACCTGCCATCTAGAACAAAGTTCACAGTCCTGTCCATTCAGCTGCCATTTTTTTTTTTTTTTTTTTTTTTTTTTTGGCTGCTTAGTCCAAGCACAAACATCAGCTATTTAAATAGAGTGAGTATCTGTGAAACTCACAGTGCTCTTTATAGCAACAGAAACAGACGTGGACATTTAGTGTATCTTGTTTCGATTTAGAGCAAGGTATCTCTGTCATTCTGTGCTTTATAAACGATTTGGCTAATATAGGTTCTTTTTTATAATAGACAACTCTTTTCTGTACATGATCAGACAGCACTTCAGGCCCTGAAGGGACATGTGGTTTGTGTGGACAGAGACTCCAACCGTCCTTATCATCTGAGGCACAAAAGCAGCCTCAGATAATAAATGCATTGATGACTGAGTTCTAATAAAACTTTATTTAACAGATAAGGGGTGTGATGTATACCTGTGCAGGTGTGGGGAAAAGATGAGGAAGAACAAAAGGAGGATTAAAGGGGATAGGAGACCAGGGGTGGGTGAGAGAGAGGACAGGAGAATTTACTAAAATACACTCTGTTTAACAAACATCAGGTTATCTAATACCTGGCATGCTAATTTTTTCATTCAGTCACTCATTCATTCGAAGGAAAGAAAGGGTCTAGGAAAGACAGCTCAGTCGGTTGGTAAAACACTTGCCTTGTACACACGAGGGCCTGAGTTGGATGCCCAGCACACAGACGACAATTCCAGGGAGGACGAGAGGGGGAGCAGAAGGATCCGTGGGGCAGCTCCAGGCCAGTGAAAGACCCGTCTCAAAAGTGGACAGCATTTCCATGTACACAGGCATGCGTGCGTGCACACTTAACACATCTGTGCACCCTCCCATACATACATACATACATACATACATACATACATACATAAAGACGGGAGCTGGACTGAGCTCATGGCTTACTATCTGCCAGCCTCTCCTCTGGAAGATGCCTCGTTTTCTCTTATATGTCTTTTCAATATGTTAAGTGTGTGCAGACGGGCTGACCCACATGAGGACTTGAGAGACTGAGAGCCTCAACAAAATCACCATAGAGCAGGGCACCTTCTCCCAGACTAACCAGTGCACAGAGAAGGTCGACAGCCTCCAACACCAGCTCCTGGTGTCCAATCCGTGTGACACCCAGTTCCTCGAGATCCTGGTGGGAGATCTTCAGCAGCTGCTCCCCATCTATCTTCTCCCGCTCAAACTTGTGGACGTATGGCTGCAGGCAGTCATCTAACCCTACAAAAATAAAGTGTGGAAAGCCTGTTATTGTCACGGTGTTGCAGTACCCCAAACACTGCCCACATTTCAATCGATGGTAGCAATCATCAAATGCGATGTCCCTGTGCTGTCAGTATTTGGTCATCTCGGTATGTGTCCCGCTGGATGGATCTCAAACGCATGGGACATGGGCGCTGAGAACTCCCAAAATGGCCCAGCACAGCGTGGCTTTATGACAGGTGCTTCCCATGTTAAAAAGTGGCTGGAGAGAGAAAGATGCCACGTGACAGATTTCAAGGAGGGTTTTTCCTTTTTTTTTTTTTTTTAAGGGGGAAAAGGTAGGGAGGGGACTGGCCTCCAGGGACAGAAGCAGCAAGAAAGAGGTGGGGGGGGGGGTAACAGACAGACAGAGGGAAAGAGAGGGAGGAAGGAGGGAAAGAGAGAGATGGGAGGTGGGCAGGGCCTTTTAAAAGGGAACTTATTGAATGTGCACAGGTGGTGCTCTTAGTGGCTGCACCTGAGGGTGTATCCTGTCAGAACTCCAAAGGCTGGCCAGTACAGATGCCTAAATACTAACATGTCCTGCATACTGAAGGGATAAACACCAACCCCTACTGATTTGAACTAGCTGTGTGCTGTTCACTAAGCAACCATTCTCTAGGGACAGCATCCCTCTCCCAACAGGATTGCCAATCAAGATGCTTGCCACTGTGGTTGAGACAAGGCCAGTTCAGCAACAATACTCCAGTGACAGACTCGGGAACAACCAAGTGACTTAAGTGGGGCCAGTCATTATCTTCCTTGATATGTGATATGCAGATACAAGAAAACAGAGCCCGGTTATAAGTCACGGGACATGACCCAGGCTGTGGGGCGGTCATCTGAGAGATAGTGACCTTGGTGACCTGGAAGGTCTGATCTTGGTGACCTAGAAGGTCTTCATCTGACTCCACTGGAGATGCTGCTATCCCAAGACTCTCTAAACCAGAACAAATTCCCTGTCTAGCTTCAGCTCGTTCGTGCTGAGTTTCCGAACTTTGTAACTGAGAATTTTATGGTAATATCCAGAATATTCTGGAAGACGAAAAAGGATAGTATGAAGCACAAACGTTCGATTTAACTGATCAAAGTGTGTGAAAGGCATCCCTGAGCCAACACAGACTCATGTGGATGGACACGGGGGAAAGATGACCATCAACAGGCCAAGGAGAGAGGCCTCAATCCCAGGCTTCCAGCCCTGGCAACTGTGTAGAAGCAAAAAAATCTCAGCCTCGCAATCACCGACTCTCGGACAAGACATGAGAGCCAAGCGACGAAGACAAAGCTAGCTGTCATGTTTCACACTCTCATATGTATAGTCTTTTTCCCTGAACAAAATAAGGACGGCCCATGGGCCGGTGGAACTACCAGGAAAGATTATACTCAGAATTCAAGCCCAGTGCTGACAGACTGGCCCTCACTGGTTTGTATGATCAGAATGAGTTTGGCCATCAAACCCGCAATGAAGAGCTAGGGACATGGCTCAGGCACTAGAGTGTTTGTCAAGCACAATGCACACATAGGTCTGGGTTCAGTCTCTAGCACCACATAAAACCAGAGGGCTGCAAAGCCCAGCACTCAACAGGTGGGAGCAAAAAGGTAGGTGTTCAAGGCCAACCTCAGCTATTTGGACGTTTGAGGCCCTGATGGAATGAATACAGGAGAACCTCTCTAGTGAAGGTTTACAATGGAGCAACCATGGGCCATGACTACTGGGTAGACAGCAACCCCTAAAAGGTAAGAAGTGAGGGTAAGGACCAGGTTCCTACTTGAATTTCCAGAAACCGCGGAAGAAACGGGACTCCTGAAGCAGAGCTGCAACCCTTGGGAAGCAGTTTGGGGCACAGAGAGGATTGGGTTATAATGAACATTCTAGGGCACGGGTCGCAATAACCAGAGCTTGACAACTGAAGGGCACAGAGGAGCGAACGTGGCCTTGAGGCTCCTCAAGTTTGAATATGAGCAGTCTGAGCTCGAGTCATCGGAAGTGCTGAGCGGCAGAATTATCAAGTGCAGGCATCACGGGGAGAACTATGGTTGCTTACACACTTTCCTGTAAGGCGGAGTACTGAATAGCTATGTCTTAAATAGCACTGCCACAGGGCTGTATTATCCCAGCACGCCACGGCCTATTGTTCATTTATCCTATTGTTCAGAATACAATTAGACATTCACGAGCAGCTAATTTAGACTATTACGTAGCCCCCGGAGAGGAGGGGGCTCGGGCATGAGTGAACGATCCAACAGCTTGAGTGAACGATCCAACAGCTTTGCAGATTGCTGCAGGTCATGCTTCTGCTTCCCTCAAGTGCACCTACTGATCAATCCTGTCTTTGAGGAGTTTATAAGAGACATATAATTAAGTAAAACTGCGTTCAACACACGCCGTCTACCCCCAATCCAATTAAACACACAACGGAATGTGAAGAAAGCAGGAAGGAGGAGCCTGGTGGTCTGACCCCAGCTCTGCTCTTACTGACATGTCTCCAGAGAGGCGAATGACTCAGTACCTCATTTGTAAGGGACTAAGACTCCCCACAGCATAACTATAATGAAAACTAGACGCCAGTGTTTATAAAGAGCTTAATACATAAAAGATACTCTGTAAATTTTGTTAAGCTAAAAAAAAAGAAAAACCGTAATTTATTTGAGTCTTCAACTTTCTAAGTGTCTAAAATGGGGTTGCTGCCAAGACAATGACACTGTCAAACACTAAGGTGGCCCCCTCTAGAATAATTGGTGGGGGGGTAAGGGAGAATGTCTTAACAGCCTATGTGATGACTGTATCCATAAGGCATCCCCAAACTTGGAAGCTTGTAGTCAGTACCGTATAAAAATACTTTGGGATTTATGTCAGTGTGTGCACACCACACAAAGAGGCTGCACTTGTCTGTAGTTTGCTCAGAGGCACCCAGAGCACTCAGCGGGGTCTGGAAGGGCAGTGTCCCACAAGTCTTACCGCTGAATAGTATCCCATTTAGAATTTATATCCCACTTATCCATGAAGGTCGCTTCAGTGAAAAAGAGCCCCCCCCCACAATTTGATTTAGAAGCTTTTCTTAAAGAAACATTTTCCATGTATTAGTTTCATCCAAAGCCTATCCACATCCATCTTCTCAGGACTCTTGAGGGTCAAAGCCATGCCCTTCCTTTTCTTCCAGAAGCTACAGAGATGCACACCAATCCTAGCAGTTCACTCTTTCCTCTTCAGAAGTTTCGCGGTCTCCCCTTCAAAACAACAAGCAACTTCAAAACAAATAAAGCAGTCCTCCATGAACACTACATTTCTCAACAACAACCAGCCAGCAGCTCCCTATTAGGCTCTGCTCCCAGCCTCCTGCAGACTAAAATCACACATTAAAGCTAGCTAATAAGTTGATGGATGGATGGATGGATGGATGGATGGATGGATGGATGGATGGATGGATGGATGGATGAGAAAGGATGGTCACTTCCAAGGACCCAACAACTCTCAAATGCCATGGATAATCTACAGTCTTTGTCATAACAAAAACAACTATCTTCTCTCCTGTCTGTCTCTGTCACCCACCTGTCCCCAAGTTTGCATGTTCTCTCCCTGAACTTCTTGGCATCTATGACAGACGTCCCTCTTCTGCCTCTTCCCTGCCTGGTACCCCACTGATCTGTGTCCATACAGGTCTCCCTACCATTTACTAGACTTTACAACATGTCTCAGCCCGAGAGTGGGGTAAGCAGGGAGACACAGGCCCTTGTCAACCAGCAAGAGCTTAAACTCTCTCTCCTGGTCTGCAGGCAAGACTAGGTTTTCCACGTGGCAGATTAAGAAAACACAAGAATGTTACTTATGTTTCCTGACGCAAAAAAAAAACACCAGAATGAATTTCAGCTTTACTAACGTGACTCAGCTCTGGCACGCTCACTGGATGTGCAAGCTTCTTACATGCTTGGGATCACAGGGACCAAAAGGGCATCCCTATACTGAGAAAGGAGAAGGTTAAACTCCCTGGCTTCCTTCCAGCCCACTATAATGCTTGTTAACTACTTATAACACAACTAGCTTTTGTCCTAAAGAGATTCTTACAGCCATGGCTATATATCAAAATTAATATGAAGCAAGCTATTAAAAATATCAAAATTGGGCCGGCAAGGCTGCTCAGCAGGTAAAGGCATTTGTCGGTTCGCTTTCCAGTTGACAAGAGGTGTACAGCCTCCTCGGCTACAACAGGCTCCACCACGATATGCTGCCACACCAAGGGCCCAAAACAGACTAGCCAGCAAAGGAGCAAACCCTCCAGAATCGTGAGACAAAATAACCATCTCCTCTTCTGAAGCTGGCTCTCTCGGGTATCCTTAGAGGATCAAAAGCTAACACAGCCTTTCCCCCTCCTTTCCATGGGAGCCGTCCTTGCCTGGGTTTCTACAGGAATCTAAGAAGCAAGTGTTACACTCAGTCTCACCTTCCTGTTCACGGATGTCCTGGAAATCCACCTGAGTAAGCCCATCCCATCCTTCCTACAGCCAAGTCCCTTGGGCGAGCCTGCAAATTTCTCTGCAATCCCACCTTCGATCCGCTCTCCCGACAAGTGTTCCCCCCAAAAGTCCCAATGGTGCCCCCACAGTCAGCGAATTCACCCCAAGGCCGAGTCCAGTGTGATGGACCGATGCCTCCTCAGTGATGTCAGTGGAGCGTGGAGTGTGTCATGCTCACTCTGGCTGCATCTACACAGCAGCAGCATTGATTGGCTGTGCCGAGGCCGGGCTGAGCCTGGGAGCCTGAACTCCTCACTTGGCTGCGGCTCCCAGCAGTGACGTGTTCACGGCGGTGACACACCAACCAGGCAGGAAAACAGACCCAGCCAGTCTTTCTGAAATTAAGTGAACCTAATGAATATAATTTCTTTTGATACATCTTGAGGGGGAAGAAAAAAATCGCTTTTCCACGATTACAGTGAATTTCTAAAGATCTGAACATGTTCCAGAAGACTCCCTTTAACTTT